TGGTTGGAGATAAATTTTGATGGCTGTTCCTCTCACTGCTTGGAGCCTTAGGTAGTGGGATTTTAGTCCATCATATATCAAAGCTGACTTGTCTTCACTCAGGGCACCATTTGGGTAGGTTGGCCATCCGTTAGTGTCTTCTGATTTTTGCGGAGTCATACAATTACAAAGCAGGTGGTGAATCTAGATAAGAATGTACCTGTGATTGAAAAATAAAACTAATATGAAAACATGAGGATATAGTTTTTAGAAACCCCCTTGACTACAAAAGTATTTGAATAGCACTGACCTAGGACCATGAAAGAAAGAGGTCTAGTAAACTGATTCTGAGAGTTACTGAAACATTATACTCTGAAGTCATTAAATATCAAGTGGTTTAATCAGTTTTCTACTGATGAGTTTCTATTGATCAGTTTTCTACTGAGTAGCTGTTTATACATTTCAAGTTAGTATTAAAAATGTCTTTTTCTTTCCAGCATGAAGGTACATGATTCTTCAAATTAAAGATGGAAGCTGACTTTTCTCACCAGAAATGGTTTATAGAATCAACTTGCAAAAATATAAGAGGCACCAAAGGAAGGAGTAAAATATTTGCTTTTATCATTCCTAGATTCTCTGCTAGATTGTAAACTCCATAAAAGCAGGAAAACTTCCTTATCTATATGCCTGGCCCAGAATAGATACTCAAAAATATGTGAAGTGAGTTGAAACCTCCATTAAATTTTTTTTTTTTAAGTCCCTGGAAAATGGCAACTATTTTAATGGCATTTCAGCAAGACTTTTATTTATTTATTTATTTGACAGAGAGAGAGAGAGACAGTGAGAGAGGGAACACAAGCAGGGGGAGTGGGAGAGGGAGAAGCAAGCTTCCCACTGAGCTTGGAGCCCGATGTGGAGCTCGATCCCATGACCCTGGGATCATGACCTGAGCTGAAGGCAGACACTTAACGGCTGAGCCACCCAGGTGCCCCAAGACATTTATTTACATGTAATAATTGGGACTTCAATTTTGACTCTGGTGGAAATTGTAATAAAGGTACATTAAACTATCTGGGTACCAGGAAGTCTACTTAAAACACTTAATATTTGGGGAGCCTGGATAGCTCAGTGGTAAAGTATGCAACTCTTGATCTTGGGGTTCTGAGTTCAAGCCCTATGTTGGGTGTAGAGATTATTTAAAAAATAAAATCTTAAAAAAAATTAAACTCTTGATACCTAATTATCATGCTTGATCCATTAAGAGTCAATGACAAATGGCTACCAAAACAACCTGGGTATGTGAGGAATAATTATATAAAAGTTTACTGATATTTAATAGGAAATCTTTTATTATGAGCATTTTATAGCCCTGTTGGACATTTATCATTGATTTAAGTTTTACATACCACTCAGGTATGGTTAAAAAGTCATTTCTGCTTTATGTTTATAATGTTGAAATATTTTCAATTGTTTTGGCTAAATTATACTTCAGAAATTTTTTTGCTTACATAGTATATTTATATCCTTGAGGGTATATTTTACAAGCAAAGGATATACAAAATACAAATTCAAATATTGGAAGTCTGGTACATATCCCTGTATTTTGAAATATGATTTAATTCTCATGCTTATATTAGAATTATACAGATGGCATGTCACTATAAGAACTTCTGTTAGAATCTGAAACCGATTTTTTAGATTAAGATTCTTCTATTAAAATGAGTATAAGTATCAAATTAGTTTTAGAGTAGATCATGCTAACATTTTTTTTTTTTTAAAGATTTTATTTATTTATTTGACAGAGAGAGACACAGTGAGAGAGGGAACACAAGCAGGGGGAGTGGGAGAGGGAGAAGCAGGCTTCCCGCCGAGCAGGGAGCCCAATGCGGGGCTCGATCCCAGGACCCTGGGATTATGACCTGAGCCGAAGGCAGACGCCTAACGACTGAGCCACCCAGGCACCCCTAGATCATGCTAACATTCTAAGATTCAATGATAATAGGAGAAATTGCTATCTTGAAATTCTTAGAGAAATGTGGTATATAAATAATATAACTGATAGGTACTTAGAATATCTACATAAGATCAATATTAAACTTTATGATAAAAAAATCATTTTTGAAAGGTGAAATAACCTGTAATTAAATGGTATAAGTGATGTGTAAGCACAAATTGTACAGTCAGATTTTATTCAGACCCTTACATTAGGAAGAATGGATTAAAGATCTATAAATGAAAAGCAAAACTTTAAACCTATAGAAAAACAAGGAATATGATGACATGGGAATAGACATAAACACAAAGAAGAAAGATTGATAAATTTGTGTACACTAAAATTCAAACTTAGGTTTGCATGCCATGTAACCAACAAAGGACTCCATATAAATCTAGAAAATGATCAAAGGATCATTTGATTAACTCTGAAAGAGTTAATTCACTGCTGAGAATCCCTGAGTAGTCATTCATCTGAAAAGATGCTTAATCTTACTAGTAATCAAAGAATTGCACATTAAAACAACATTCAGATACCATTTCACTGCCATCATAAGGGCAAAAATGAAAACAAAACAAAACAAAAAATTGACACTTCCATATGTTGCTGAGTGTAAAGCAATGTGATCTCATCTTTGCTGGTGGCAGTGAAATTTATTTGAAGTTGATTAGACACGAACCCAGTCTCTAGGTATTATATTTTATAGGAATTCTTATCATGTGTACTCAAGGAGACATGTACAGAAAGTTTATTGCAGTACTGATTTTAATTGTAAAAACCTGGAAGAAATGTCCTTTAGAAGAATGGATAAATTGTGGTATATTTGTAGTATTTGGCTGTTAAAATGAATCGGTGCAAGATAGGTGTATTAACTTGACTACATCTCAAAAATAGGTTAATGAAATGGTGTATTGATAGGTGCTGTATGATAAGGTTTAGTAGTTTTAGGACATGCAAAACAAGATGGATGTATACATATATACTAAAAATATAAAAGCATCCATGAGAGTGATAAATACCAAAATCTGGCTTGTTTACCTCTGGAGAGATAGGAGGAAAATCAGGAGGCTTCAGCTGTAATTGTAATGTGTTACTTCATTTGAAAAATATCATATGTGAGAAGGATTTCAGTTTATTAAAGCTGAGTGATGGTCATTCTTCACACATTTTTTGTATGCTTGATATTTAATAATAAAAACCAAAATTAAAAAAAAAAAGTTCTTTTTAGTGGATGGATCTTTGTATCTCAGCCTTGATTGTTTTCAGTAATCTCATCCCCAGGAGCACTCTAGAAAAGAGCCCTTGAAAGGTTTGTTTATGCCGTAACAGGAGAGGACACAGTGCCACTGAGAAGCGGGTTAGTTCAGTTCCTGGTGTTCCAGATTACTGGGATATTAAGACTTTGTAGCACCCTGCCCCCTTTTATTCTATCTGGCAAAACGTGTTGGCAAAAAAAAAAGTATACATACATATACATATATATACGTATATGTATATATGTTACTCCTACAGGCTTTTAGCCAAATGGGTTGGAAATTTGAAACTGATCTGGTGCGAAAATCGTGTGGGGAACACTAAGGTTTGGGGAATCAGTGGTCTTAATGATGAAGCAGGAAGAGATCATATTGCAGTACAAAGGTTTAAGTTAGATCGCAAAGTTAGGTACTGGCTGAATTTGAATGCTTTGTGTTTTCTAACTTTGAGATTGTATTCCTTTGTTGTACTACATTTGGCATTGTTAAAATCAGAAAATGCACAAAAGGCTCAGATAGCCAAAATAGATATTAGGGGTTTACACATGAACCCCCAATTTTGTTTGAATCCAATTTGTACCACTGGAATTAAGTTACCACTCTAAACTCTAACGACATTTTAGGAAATGTATACAAAGGTCAAGATGACCCTTTCAAATTACTGTGAACAAGCTGCAAGTAGACAGAAAACTAGCAGAAAGTTGTTTAGTTAGGATAGGTTTTTGTTTGGAGAAGAATGGGTTAGTATTAGAGATTCACTACCCAGAAAGGGGTTTGCAGGGCTTTGGTGTCCATTGTGTTGCTGATTCATTGGATTGTGTGTTACTAATTCACAATGGGGTCACACGTGGACAGGTGGCCGGCCACAAAAGACAGCATTAAGGCTTGTATTCCAAGGACCCCTCAAGCCCTCCTCAGCTTAGTTTCTAATATGATTCTAATAGACCCCTATAGATTGAGCAGAAAATCACACAGTTTACAAAGAACAGAAAAGAAAGTGACAGGTAAGAGCATTAGGGTAAAACAGGCACAAACATTTAAACAATTACAAGTAGGTCCAGGAGAACACACAGGCAGAGCACCTCAAAAAAGCTGACACCCGATCGATCCTCTCGCTTCATTACAGGCGCTGTAATGAATGTTGTAACACAGATTCTAAACCAAGAAAAAGTTCTATTTTCTTTAAATGTATATAGAGGATGTGTAAAAGCTAGAAAGGTGTCTTTATCAAGATGGATTAGAAAAATAAAATGGCAGAATCTACCTCAACATGGAGGTGATAGCTATCCAATTACAGGTATCTCAAATTTCTGGGACTTTTTCCTGAAACTGCTTAGCAAGTCTGTGCTGCCCAGCCGGTCCTCCCCAAGAGTTCCCAGGACAAACACGACACCTGCGTGTACTCAGGTAGGGGCACAAGCCGGCCCTGTTAGCTTCTCAACTGTCCCACTCCCCGTCCTGCTCTTACTCAGGAGACTGACCTCAAATGTTATACCCAGGATAGCCTAGGATGTTACTTTTGTGCCAGTTGAGGGCAGTAAAAGGCACTCTGTGACAGTATCCATGGGGCTCCCAAGTGGGAAGCCTGGACCATGCTCAGTGGGACGCACGCCCTCACAGCGCCTGAGACGCGCGTGCGTGGGGATATGCGCCTGAGTCCAGGTGCCACAGCCTGACGGGTCCCAGGATCCTGAGCGGCCGGAAGCCCTGTGACCACCACCCGGCAGGCTCCAGGGCCACCCCGCGCATGCGTTCTGTGTCTTACTGGAGAGGCACCGCGAATCCTCGCTAGTGTAGTGCTAGAGTTGTGGAGGCAACGGCGTTTTCCCGCGCTTTTTCTGCGCGCCTCAGGTTAGATATTTTATTTGTATTATTATTGTTATTTTCTCTGTAGAGTGCAGAAAGCAGGCCAAGAACTCCAGAGTGAAGTTTCCGTGAGTCTAATTCCCAAAAACTCGGCCCTCGGTAACTTGGGACAATTCACCGAATTGGCTCTTTCCCCCAGTCGTGGAAAATTTGGAATTAGCTGCACCTCCCGCTCTGCCTAAGAAAGTTCTCAGCTTTAAAACTTCCCCGCTCTTCTGCTTCTCCTATGCCTATTATCCTGCTGGGGGTAAAATAGGCCTTATAATTCCTGCTGCCATTTACCCTTGGAGACTAACTCAGTGGGTACTTTGGGGTAAAGATGTCAGCGCGTCCTCATGGACCCCTGTGACCAAGGCAACATTTTTTTTTTTTTGATCAAGGCAACATTCTTGACAGAATTTGTTGGTTAATAAATGTGTTAAATATGAATATTTTCCTTGGTGTATAATTGGTGTGTCACAGTTATTTCATACAATATATGATTTTGGTATATCCAGAATATTGCTGTCCAGTTTGGGTTAGTAAAACTAGTGAGAGTGGACACTATATTGAAAAATAACTTAAGAGTATTTATTTATTTACTTAAAAGTATTTATTTAGTTTTACAAACTTTTACTGCATTCAATAGTATTTATATTAATAGGTGAATTATTTGATGATAAAATAAATCAGCTTTTGTACAGATTTTCAGGTTTCATAATGGTCATTTGCTTGGATGAATTAAATTATTTTCCATTTAATACTATCAGATTACTACTCTTTTTTTAGGTAAGGCAACACAGGTAAAGAATCTGAGAAATCAGTGTATATGAAAAACCTAAAAAGTAACTTAAAGAACACTTTTCACTAAAGAATGGCTGAAATTGGTGCCTGGACTTATATCTGCCAAGTGTGAGAAGTGGTACTAAAATATTCTAGCAAACTATGGATGGTAGTAAATTTGGCTTTTTTGTTTAGGTATTGAGGAGCGGCAGAAGGCAGTAATTAATTTTTATTTGTACTTTGTAAATGTTCCTAAGCTTTATTTTCCATGTACATATTATTTTTGGCTTTAGTAAGATTTGGACCACTTGTGTCTTTAATTTTTTCTTTAAAATTTTTTTTCATGGGCTTTCTATGGGTTTACACAAGGGAGCACAGTTAATATTGTTGAGTGACTGAAATCTATATAATATGTTGATTATAATAAATACAAACAATAAAATACATTATTTTATCATAATAAAATGAAAACATGTTCTATTTCATTTTCATTGAAATATGACTTATTTGACCTTTTCATTTACCCCTTATTGGGATTCTTTTCAGCATCTGCAGACTTCAATCTCTGTTATGTCTTTGTGTGAAGACATGCTGCTTTGTAACTATCGCAAGTGTCGCCTCAAACTCTCTGGTTATGCGTGGGTCACTGCCTGCTCTCACATCTTCTGTGATCAGCATGGCAGTGGTGAGTTTAGTCGTTCACCAGCTATCTGCCCTGCCTGCAATAGTACCCTTTCTGGAAAGCTAGACATTGTGCGCACAGAACTCAGTCCATCAGAGGAATATAAAGCCATGGTATTGGCAGGACTTCGACCAGAGATTGTGTTGGACATTAGCTCCCGTGCACTGGCCTTCTGGACGTATCAGGTTAGTGCTTAGGCTAGGTTTTCTGGAGAGTATGATTTGAGGCATATGTGGAAGCTTCTAATGTTTTTCCTTCGTTGTGTTTGTATTCATTTTTTTTTTCAAGATTTTATTTTTATTTGTTAGAGAGTGAGAGCACACAAGCAGGGGGAGCGGCAGGCAGAGGGAGAAGCAGGCTCCCTGCTGAGTAAGGAGCCCGATGTGAGGCTCGGTCCCAGGACCCTGGGATCATGACCTGAGATGAAGGCAGACACCTGACCGACTGAGCCACCCAAGCATCCCTCATTTTTTATGAATATATAGAAAACATTCTTTTTAATAATTTTTTAAAAAGATTTATTTATTTATTTATTTGACAGAGAGAGGGAA